GCATACTCCAAGTTTTTAAAAGAGAAACAATTAAATGTGAACACATAAGCACACCCACTTACGTCTTTAAACTTCTCAACAAACTTCCCAAACTTCTCGATCATCTCAGCCACAAAGATGATATCCATCTTGTCTGAGAAGTTGGCAGCATCCTTCGTGTAGACAAACAGGCGCTGAGCTATAGTCACCACATTGCTCTCATTTAGAGGCATCTAGGAAAAACAAAACTGGGCATGAATAGAGAGCTGTGGGCCACAGGTGTGAGGAAGCTCAAAACCATCAAATCACAGCCTGAATGACCAGATGCAAACCTGGTTGATGACATTGAGGAATCTTGTGACATCCTTCTGAAACTGGCAGCGGGAATAATCCTCTTCTGCCCATTGGCCCTCGCGATCACAGTAACGCCAAGCCCGCTGCTCTTCACTGGAGCTGCCCGAGTACGTGCTTCCGCTCGATGGCAGTCGGTTGCAGGGCAGGTAGGCTCTGATCCCTGCTAAGGTGCGTGGCCACCTGGGAGGATTTAAATAAATTGCTGTTTATTTCCACTTAAGGCTGTGTCATGTGAGCCAAAATAGGTCCAATCTGGTAACTGAAGGAGTAACACCGTTTGGCCACAAGGGGGTGCTGCTTGCACAATAACGCAACTGCTCCAACACAGCAAGAATATTTATTACTTCACCTTTGGTATATTCCATCACACTGGATTTTTGAGTTTTAAGTGGTTTTAAGTTTAAAAAGAGAAAAAAAAGGAGTAAGTATCCACCTGAACTCTCCCTTGTTGTTGGAGACACGTTCAGGGACGCAGTACTTGGCTGAACTTTGCAGCACCACAATGTGGACCGTCCTGGTGGTGTTTCCCCTGCTTGTCCTGACCCGACACTCCCAGTTGCCCGTAAAACCAGGTTGGATGTTTGAGATGGTCAATGCACTGATGGAAACCATGAGAATATAATATATTTTATGTTAATTGGTCAAGGTGGCTATATAAATTCCTATGAACTGCAGATTACACGAACACCTATCTTCATACCTGGCAATCAGCGAGCAGTTCTGCACAATGCGCTTTTCAATGAAGATGCCTTGAGTGGCGTCAGGCTTGACCATGAGGCCCCTGTGGTACCACAGCACCTGCATGTCCTCTGCCACGAGGGAGGCCTGACACTGGAAGGGCAGGCTGTCCCCCTGAAAGACGACCTGCCGCTGGGATGGGGTTAGCTGGAAGGAGGGCAGCTCGAGTGGAGCGTCTGAGGAAAACAAGCAGGCGAGTCAGGCGGTACTTCTCAAAATAAAAATGAAGAGTCGCTCATTTTTCAGTTCTGTTTACTATACAAGTTAAAACTGCATCTTTAAATTCTCAGTACTTCAGTGCCATTTGTAATTCATGTCAGGTTTCTGCTAAATCTACGCCATACATTTCATAATCCCTCACTGAGATGAGTGCCAAACCGATAAGACATGAGCAAGTACAAACAAAGGCAGCGCTGGCCTGGGCAGCCCTTGTCTTATCTCCCGTGTCATTGCACAAGCCCCTGTTACCCAAACACTAACCTCACTGATATCAAAACAGAGACGTTAAAGGGACAGCGCAGCATTTTGACTGTACAGTCGTCTGAGCTGCTGCTCAGTTATTTAGACATGTTTAAGGCAGGACAAATGGCAGATCCGAGTCAGTGCCAATTAAAATGATACAGTTCTGTTGCAGGATGTTCAAACAATTATATTTTAACGTGTGCGTGTGTGTCTCCGTACCGCATGTAAAGAGCTCCGGCCTGATGGAGGTAACTGACTGACCCTGTAGGGACTGTGGGTAGGAGCACTCTGTGTTCCTTACAGAGATTTTCCTGTCTTTGATCCAGCGCAGCAGCCAGAGAAGGTTGCAGTCACACAGCAAGTAAGGTGTCTTGAAGTCCCTGGAGATGGACAAAAACAACACCTGGGGTCAGTTTAGGTGATCGAGCGCCATCAAACAGACTGACAATGGCCACGTGCATGAAGTTTCTTTTCAAGCTGAGCATACTCACAGCGCCTTCAGAGACACCAAGCTGTCAAAGGTCCCCTGAGCCAATGAAGAGAACATGTTCCCTGTAAGGTTTCTGAGAGGGGAGAAAAAAAAAAAAAAAGGTTATATTTGGGATGTACTATAAAGACATGACTAGATTACATTCACAGCAGTGCAAATGACTTACAGTCGGATCAGACTGGATAGACCTTTAAAGATGTC